TTGTATCATAGCGTGAGATTTTCATGCTTGAGGAGCTGGATGCAGGGCTGCTCTCTTAAATGGCTGCTGCTGTTCTGTGTTGCAAATTAACAAGATTGCACTGGGTCTGTAATCAACACAATTAACTTGCCAAAGAGCTTGCAAGAGCACAGAAAACCATAGCTGCCAACGCCTTGCACAGACACACTCACACACACTGCTTTTCCTACACAGAACCATAGCTGGAGGTGTCTGCAGGGCTCTGTCCCCTGCGCCAACATCACGGCTTGGGAGTGGAGGAGGGAACTGCCTGGAGTTGAGTCCCACAGAAACTGTCTTGCTCCCTGCAGTCTTTGCATGTGGACTTGGCTCCTACCACCCCAGTGCCAGGCTGACTTCCCCTCACCGGCCAGAGGATGAGTGGCTACTGGGGCTGCTTCCAGTACCAGTGAGGTGCAGCCAGGCCTGAACTCCCTGCAGATTCCACCCGGAGGATCACAGCATGCCACTGCCCTTCTACCCAAATCTGACACTTCTTTCACTTTTCCTCATGATCGAAAGAGCACCTAGAGATGCTCCCTGGGCCTGAATCTGCATCTGGAGACCTACTCAACTTTCATTGACTTACTTTTTAAAAAGGCTTGATAACCTTTCTTCCCTCTGATCCTGCCCTTCCTGGACTGTGCTGCTGCAGTGAAACCCCCCTGTTAGCTCCACATTGGCTCAAGGAGGTCTCTGGGACAAAAGTTTCTCAGGCTTGTTGCTTAGGGAATGTGCCATCCCTGGAGCACGGCTCGGTGCTCTGCCCCTCTGACAATGGCAGGGACCCAGCTGACCAGCCAGCTGCTTGTGCAGATAATTGCAGTATCAGTGAGATATAATTAAGTCATGTTTATTTCATGATCACTTATGCTTGAGCTCTTACAGAGACATCTTTATTATGTTAAATTAAAATTAATTAATCACTGATTCTGGGGAAAGATTAGCTTCTAAAAGCTACATAAGGCTTGTCTATTCAGTAGTACTTTACTTATTTGTAAAGATGTGATTTTGCTAAGTCAAGAATGAAACATGAAGGGCATCAACCGCAAGTGAACTGGATGTAGGACCTGCACAGGAGCCTGTACTCACTTCACACATTGCTGGTAATTGTCTGCTTTGCTTTTGCTGGTGTGCCACAAGTGTCCTGGATATAATCTGGTTTAGCTGGTGGATGACTGAGGACACCTGTGATGTACCTGTGAAGGACAAGCAAGAGGCAGTCCTTTTTGGGGCGGGACATTCATTTTGGTACCCAGGGCAAGGGGTTCTTGCAAACGTGGAAGTGGGGGTATCTCCGGTGTCTCTCTCACACACAGAAGTACTCCTGCAGATGTGTATTGCCCTCATCCCTCCCTGCCCACCACTGGGAGACAGGTTCTGTCCAAGCAGATCTGGCAGATTTCTGGAAGGTAAGAAAATATTTCATTTTTACCTTAAGTGTCCTAAGATATCAAGGTGTTGAGATGTCATAATTGTCCAGGGAGCTGAAAGAGACTCTCTAATCGATATCCTCTACATCCACTAACTAAAAGATGGAGCAAAGACTCTAACTAAAATTGTACCATCAATGTGTTTGAAAGCAGGTAACATTTCTCCTGCAGAGGCCAACAGAAGATAGTGGATAAGCACCCTAATCATCTTCTGAACATGGGGCTCACTATTCAGTGTCCATACTTTTCAAATGTCTTTTGGAAGTAAATTTTCATAGTTGATTGCTGTTTCTGTAACCTGCCCTCCCTCTGCTATCTTCCCGCATGTTTCCATATCAGCATAGATGTTCTGACAGCTCAGAGATTTTCTAGTATTTTGTCATTCCAGTTTTTCTCATGTATTGTTAGATGAGATGGTTGTCTCTGTCTTTTCCTTCATTGAATCTGCTATAATGTAGAAGCAGCACTGACGGAAGGGTATTACTTCATCTACAAGTATTTATCAGCAAAATTCTCATTTATCCCAAAAGCAGAGTAACTCTGTCTATGCTATCCATGGATGTCTCCACTGTGGTGAGAACAGGGTTTTCCATCACTCTGAAAGCCACAGACAACAGAACATGCCCTAGGTCAAGTGCCCCAGAGTAATTATCTCTCTAACTACGGATCTCAAAAGGAGGCTTGCAAAACAAGACTTTCTGAAGGATTTTGATGCTTTCAGGCAAAACAATCCCCATTTTTGGTGGAAATTTTCTTTGGAGAGGGACTGCAAGTGACACCTGCACTTTGCAGAGGAAGTGTTACCCCATCTCTGCAGCAGATCAGGTTTGCTGTGAGCATGGGTAAGATCAACTCAGTCCCATCTCCAGACACCCAGCACCCATAAGATCCAAACCCAAAGAAGGATGCAATCCCCATGTCCTAAGGTACCTTTCAGACTTCCTTTGTCCACAGCGGACTGTGGATCTGTGCACCGTCCAGTGCCAGGAATTAACAAGTACAGCATGTCAATTCTTTGACTGGAGAAGCTCACCTGAATAGTTAATTACAGTATTTCATAGCACATTTAGATGGGGCTAAGCAGGTACAACTCCTTTAGCTCTGTGGGGTAGGTGTCTTGCTCTGGATCCAATCTTGGCTGTTCATTTTTAATCGCTATTAAGAGTTCAGATGAAATTGCTTCCAGCTGCTTTCACAAAGCCCAAATATTGCCAGAGTCCCACATGATGTCCCTTTTCTGCCAGACTGTGGCCTCCTATAGAGAGTTCTTCAAAAGCCAGTTTCAACAAAACCAAATTATTTTAGAATATAATTGCTTCTCACTCCCTTAAATTTCATTGTGCTCCGAAGAGTTTCCTGTAAATAGATCCCGTTCTTTAGAGGAGCCATGCTATTCTGCAGTGCTGATGGAAGCCAGCCCTCGCCAGGCTCCGCTCCATTAGCAGTTCTTGGACAGGCAGTGCTTAAGCAGCTTGTTATGTGATAAAACATCACATTTCTTCTCCCCACCACCGCTTGTGCTGATATTCAGCTCCTGCAGGAAACCATATGGCTTCCAGAAGCCTACCCACATACCTGTACATGCCTACGCAGTCCATGAGTCACATTTACTGTTTGGATGCCCCCTGAGTCATGCTGAAAATCTGTGAAATTTCCACATCTATTTTCCATGCAATCTCTTAAGAACTTTAGACAGTTATGCATAACCATTTGCATATGTATGGTTTTTCCTATTCTGCTTTTAGTTTCATGGGTGGTAATGCAATGGCACTTCTTACTTTGAAGAAAATCAAATCTAGATGACTGCAGAGCACTGTCTGCAGCTGTCTCAGGCTATGGGATTCAACTGGTAAAGCAAGAACCTTTTGAAGGCAGGGCTTTGGGAGCAGAAAGTCCAAGACACAAGCCCATGAATGTGGGCAGCTGCTTTAGCCCTTTCTCGCTGCTCTGGCAGAGCCATACTTGCTCACTGTTGACCCTCGCTTGGTGGTTTCAGTGTCCAAAGGTAGCTGCTACGCTGCCTTTAGTGGGGTGTGGACATCCCGGAGCCTTTGATGCGGCTTTGCTGTGCTAAGGCCTGGTGTGGATGGAGCACACGTGGATCCCTCCTGCACGTCCTGGGGATGGGCTCGGGGCAGATGTCTGTCCTCATGCTGTCAGCTCCTCAGCTGCATGGACTCCAGCCTCAGACAAGTCTACCTGCCCTTTATCAGCCTCATTACATGGCGATTTTGCCACCTCAGCACAGAACAGGCAACGTGTAAACTTTGACTGTTGCTTTTTGCTGATGAAAATAGATAAAAGGTATCTTCCCTCTTCCTTCTTCCTCTACAAAGGGCCAGCACTGACATTACAGCCCAAACTAAGAACAGTAGCCCCGAGGTTTGCTGCAGCAGCTATGAATGATATCACCAGCCTGCCAGAAACAGAGCTTTTTTTGCAGCTGTACCCAAATGCTAGCAGCATTAGGTGTTTAGCAAAAAATCTCACAACCAATCTAAGGGCAAAGAATGTGTAGATACACTGTTCTGCTGTAGAGCATGTGTGCTGACTGTTTACATTAAAAACATCTCTATGGCCCCTCATGAGTGTTCCCCAACCTCATTCTCTGGCTTTATAGAGCCAGAAAGTGTCAGAGGCTACATGTGAGCTTTTTGTATAGCTGGAATAAGCAAGGTGAGATTGTAGAGAACTTCTTGCTGTAATTTAGCATAGTAAAATTGCCAGAGAGATTCCTTAGGGCAAACAATCTAGCCGCCTCTCCCACTGTGAGAATATGTTACTTTACTCATCTGCCCAAAAGCATTGCTCAGTGGAGGCAGGGACTTTCCTAGTGTTACTGTACTGTTGTGAATTGTGTCTGACCTGGAAAGCTGCAAATGGGCACACAAAAACATTGCTAATTCAGACCCCTTCCACCTTTCATTCAGATTGGTACTGTTTCAAAAAATTTGCTCTGTGGAATTAAAAAAAAAACCCCAAACAAACTCGCAGATATTTTGAAAAAGTGTGCTAGTAAACCTGACTAACTTACTATATAGTATTTTCTCAAACCATATTGATAATTAGTAGTGACTGAAAAGACTTAGACTGATGGCTGCTCTGTAATAAGTTTGTTTCAGCCCATTTCCCAGAGGGCAGGTGTAATGAGGGTAGGCAGTTTTGGTATTTCTTATCAGCAATCTTATCTGAGACACAATAGAAGAAATGTTTGCACCCTTCCCATGGAAGCGTTCCCATACTTTGTGAACACAGCTTGAAGAAAGCTTTCCTTTGGCTGCCCTCACAGCATCTGCCCTGGGAGATTACTGAGTTCAGAAATGGCATTACAGAGTCCTTCAAAAACTTTAAGGGTATTTTTATTGATATTAAAAAATCAGTTTTAATATTATTTGTGAGCTGCAAGGTATACTACATGCGATAGGACAGGAGAGTAGAGAACAGAGTTAAAGGATCATGGGTGCATGAGATGACAGGAGAGCTTCAAGAGAAAGCTTCAGTGAAAGCTGCTTTGATGCAGAGGCTGCAGGGGTGCTGGAGTGCTGAACCCCTGATACAGCATTGCAGGGGAAGCCTTCTGCCTGCAAGTCATACATCCCCACTGCATAGACAGATTCTTGAATTACTGGCAATAACATGCTAGCTAATAAGAAAATAAATAAGAATCTGAAGTATTAAGTAGAGATGAAATACCCTATCTGAACATACGCTTTTGCACATGCAACAGAAATTAGCCAAGTGGTTGCTTTTAGGAAGAGCTGTTCCACAAGTGCTGCTGGAGGGATCTATGTAACAGGTCTGAGCCCACATAATGTAGCCCTTTAGTAAGAAGAAGGTTTACAGGTTGTTTCTGGCACTGTCTGTGATTGCTTACAGAAAAATAAATCCTGCCTGTGTCCCAGGAAGCCTTCTGGCCATCCCCAGGGGCCTGGCAGCGCTCCCTAAGAAAGTGCATGGTGCTTACCGGGCAGGTTCCTATTCCTGAGGGACATTTCTGAAGCTGTCTCTGCTTCAAGCTGAGAGAGTTTAACTAATCTCAGCTGTTCAGGGGAACTTGGTCCCCAGCTGAGCCTCCCAATAACTCCTAGGGAAAGGCGGTGTCCCCCCGCAGCTTTCCAAGATAAAGAGGCCACCAGGAGCAGCAAGCCTGGTACACATGTGATAAGACTGGGCACCCCAGATCCTGCGAGCTTGTGCTACTCCATCAACACAAACTAGCAGGGACTCTTGTTTTGCACTTCCCACATGCCACCTCATCTTTCCTTCTAGCTGAGTTTTTCCTCAAATGGTCTGTGGGATGGGCTGCTTTTAAGGACACTAGAAAAGTGAACCAAGAAATTAAGCCTATTGTTTAATGAGTCTAGAAGTGACTCCCTGGATCTGCATGGACATTGAAAAGCTGTTAGGGGTCTGTAAAATGAAAACCTGTATTCTGCTTTCAATAGATATAATTGTTGAAACTGTTGTGGTACGAGGCCAATGATTTCATTCTGACTGTGGTGGTTGTGGGATGATTTCCTTGGCTTTATCAGTGGCACTCTTGTGAGCGATTGGATCCCGGCTGCCTGGGCTGGCAGTCTGCTTTCCCTTGCAAGCACCAGCAATGAAATGGAGTTGGTCCATGTGTGGGCTGTTAAAATCTGCAAGGTATTTGAAGGAGTTTTATATGTTTTCCACATTTTCAAACGTACTTTCCATCCATCCAAAGAGTTTACAGAAATAACTTGCCGCAAAAATATAAAAAGCAGCAAGTGTTTGTACTGTGTGGAAACATTAATTTAAACTCACTGGGGCTAGACCACATAGTTTACTTACTAGCACTTACTGCATGGGTATTGAAATTTCTGAAGCACCATGAGTCAATAAGGGCTGAAAGTCAGCCGAGTCTCCTTTGCTCCCTTGCTGGTATGACTGTGGCCAGCAAGATGCCGTGGCCTGGCATGGAGAGTGCAGGGCTGTGTACGCTGGGGCGGCACGGAGCAGGGTAGGAGCAGAATCGAACACTGCCTGACTAACTGCAGAAACTTAAATGAAGTCCACATAAGGAATAAAGCAAGTGAGATCTGAGGGGGCTGCTTTATACTCACACAATGTCCCTTTGATGCTTGCAGTTCTATGGGCCTATATAAAAAACAGACACAGTGGGTATCTAGCAGCTAATTCCAGCCACAGAGAGAAATTAGCACATTTTAGTTGCTAATTTCTTGAAGGTATGAGCTGTTTCTGATATAAATATAAGCATGTGGCTCAGTGTGCAGGGACTACCCACAAAATTATCATTTTTAGTTACATTAAGACAAAGAAGAGAAAACTGAAATCTGCAGAGCCAAAGATGCATCAGAAATTCACTGGTTCTACACCGAAGATGTACCCGACATAAATAGCCTTAACAAAAAATAATTAACACAGCCAACATGTTTCATTATATTATATTGTTAAGGAGAATAGAAATAGAATTAGTTAATCCCATCTGAATTGTAATGCCATAAATAATTATATAGTTCTCTTTCTTTGGACTGCTGGTTTTGTTTTAAATGACGGACCGTCTTCAGAGAGTCTAAATTAAGTGTTCACAATGAAACTGGATGCTTCCTCCATCATGTGATAGAATCACAATCAAATTAAATTTTAATTAATAATTGAGTAAATCCTTGGTGAGTTTCTGAAATGTGAGGCATGCTCTGCATCTGCACGATGCCAGGAGATCTAAGAGAATACTGAGCTGTTTCTGATTAAGAAAGTTAAGTAGGAGTCCTTGAAGCCAGACTAGCGATGGTGGACTAAGCTGTTCTCTGGAATCCACCAGATTAGTACACAGGCCTGGAGGTTCATGGCAATCCTAGAGCAGAAATATAAATTCAGTGCAGCTTTGAGAGGAGTACCACTCTTCCTCACTAGCTGATTTTTGTCCCTTCCTTGATATGATTAAATATAAAGCAGTAGAGAAAACCCCAAACCCAAAACTAGCAGAGGTTTTAGTCTGTCGCCTCCTGTTCACTTTACAGTAGAGGAGCCTATCTACTGTTTTACTATGTTAGAGATGTTCTGAGCTACCAGAATAGTCCTCAGGACTCCCGGCTTTCAGCAGCTTGTTCAGATCACCTACCAGAGGGCCCCAGAAATATCAAGAATGAAGGCACAAGAGAAACTGTGCGAGAGGCAACTTTACACAACGAAACAAACCCAAAATCTTTGTACACTGTTTCCCCTCAATATTAGAGCAATTTCAATGCAGATGCAGCCCAGATCTGACTAAAATTTACTTTTCTATTTAAATACATGGTACAGTCTGTGAGTATCTGAGGTGAAAGGCACCAAGCCTCTAGGACATGGAATTGAAAGGACACTGTGTGCACTCTGAAGGCAACATTTTACTGTGTTGAGTTTACCATGATGTGTGGCTTCAGCAAGTCCCACCTTGAAACCAGCTGCATGAGCTGTGTGAACTCTTCCAGTTAGGAAGCAGCTCCAAACCTCACTGCTCTTGTCCTGGGAAGCTTTCTGGGGGAACCTCATTCTTTTTTGACAGCCTTGCTGACCTGAGTGTCCTCTAAGGCTCTTCAGTCATCATCCCAGAAGCCCTTCTTGGCTGCCTTCTAGTGAAAATTCACCTTTGTTGAACACAGATGCTCATGGTTGTGTATTATTCTAGGTGAGGTCTCACTAGTGTTTTCTACAGGGCCATTAGGATAACCCTACCTGTTGAAGCCTGGATCAATCATCTTCTCCTTTCATGGTCACGTCTCAGTAAGGGCTCACAGTCATCCTGTGTTGAATAGCCACATTTCTTACTTCTCCTTCCTGCCTTGTATGACTTCGATCTCTACACTATTCACAGCATTTGTTTTGCTGTTGCTCTTCATGTCAGCCCATGTTTCTTCTATGAGTCTGTCTCCAGAGTGTAAAATGTTTACTGATGAGAAGGGAAGACATTTTACCTTTAAGTCCTAGTCCACATGGTCTCTGCAACCAAAAATAAATAAAGGAACTTTGCTGTTTTCAGCATTAAGCAAATACATAAAGGTAAACCATTCCAGAAGAGGAGACTGCACATCACCAAGTTAATGTTTTCTTCTGCCACATTTCTAAATTATTAGGGAAAGGGGACAAGAACTGCAAGCATACACCTGTCTTCCAACTTTTCTTGCCCTTATGAGTCAGTCTTGGTATCAGACAAACTAGTTACTCAATGCACTCCGCTGTTTCAGTAGTGTAGATCTGAAAAGGAATGTGGTAAAGCCTCTGGTGATACCACTTTTTTACCTTGCACAGTCATGGTTAGTGGAAGACTTTTCAGAGAAAGGTTGACAGATTCTTTCCAGAAATGCTGTATTTTGAGGACAGAAAGCAAACAGAGGTAATAGAAACACTGGAATATCAATAGCCTTACGGTGCTAGTTGTAGCTGAATGTGCATGTTTGATTATTGCAGCCAGCTTCCCTGTAGCACATAGCTAGATCCCTGGACCCAGCTGGAGAAGTTAGCTCTCCATGCAAGCCTTTGCCAGCAGCAGCAGAATGCTTAGGTCAGTATGTTCAGAAGTAGTTCTTATTCTGAGAGTCTAATTTAAGTTCTTTGGGAACTTACCATCCAGGAACTGTTAACATTTCTATGGACCTCAACTTGCAGTAGTATTTGATCAGAGAACTGGGCCAAGATAAGTGATGTATAAGCTACAAAGTTTAAATGAACTATCTATCACAGACGTTTTACTGAAAGGACAACCTGGAACTTGCATGTTAATCAGTAACAGATTCCTTTGAACTCTGACAAACTCTTTCATACTCGGTAAGAGTAAACACAATACCACTAGGATTTAAAGGGTGTTTTTTACAAAATGTATATGAGAGCTCTCTACAAAGTCCTTTCTTAAAAACAGAGAAGGTTTACGAGTACTTTCTTCACCTAAACCAAAATATAACAGAAAAGCTGTGTAGGCACTGCAAGATGCTTGCTGTTAACGGGAGCTCAGCAGCACCGACTGCTTACTTCATCTGGAGCGAAGGGTAGGTTGCATTAACTGTGGGCAATTTCTGCAGCCCCTATGCAGCAGATACCTGTATAGCTGGACAGTTTTCTGGGTTTCCTCACTGCTCATCCAGAGTTGATCCAGCCCTGCAGTCATTCAGTGGGACACTCGAGGACTCATCATTCCTCAGTTACAGTCACTGGCAGCCTTTCCCTCCTAGAATGTAAATTATTCATAAAATTCTAAGCAAGACAATACTGTATTCCTTTTTAGCACTGCTCTTTTCCTTCACATAGCTGTGGAACATACTCACACTTATCATCCCAAAGCTTCTACACAAACAAGGAGGAAGAAAACCCATTAGAGGGAGGGTGTGCCTGATAATCCAACTACTTGCTCCCCACCAGTGGTAGCCCTGAGGGACAGCTGAGCATGCTGGCGCTATAACTCCTGCTCTCAACTGATCTCTTTGCAGAAAACTTCTACAATCTCAAGCAGCAGGGGGTGGGGCTTGGGTGCCCATAGCATAGCCTGTAGCTAGTAGCAGGCAGAATGCCACAGATGGAGCTATGGCTCGTGAAGGGTAAACCAAGAGTCTGCTGTCTGTGCTCTCGCTAATAGCTCTCAACTAAGTATTCCTCCAATTATGTGGTTAGCTCAAAAGGTAGGTGTTAGCATAGGAAGAGGGAATTTTAAACAAGCTGGCTGTCATCCCAGGAGAGAGAGGGGTTACTATAAGAGCTCCACATGCTCAGTGTGTTTCTGCAGTGCTTAGAAATACTCGGTGTTTGATGCAAATTAGAATGTCTTAAGACCTTGCAAGAAAACTGTTTATTTAGAGAGAGATTTTTAGCTTTTACAATAAGGTACTTTCTGACAAGTATGATTTTGATTCCTGTAAAAATCACTGCCAAACTCCCTTTCTAGTTTTTCCACTCACGTAATCTGGCTATGTGTGTCTGCAATCCCAAAACACAAAGACTACTTGTTGCTTCAGGTACGTGTGACAGACAACGTGGTGGCAGCAGATGTACGTAGATCTCACCCTTGTGTAAGAGTCATCAGCCTGGGCGCAATCCCATTCTCTCTACTACAAGTACTACATTGTTTGGGTTGGGAAAACAAAGGTATCTTGATGTGACATGCTGTGATGTCACTTTGCTGTGTGCTATGGATCGCGTGGTTCAGGCACACCGCTTTCTGTACTCCAGGGGTGGTTAGGCTTGTACGGATGTCTGAGCTGATGCTAGGACAGTGCAAGGACTCTAGCCAAGGCAGCTCCTCCAGAGAGCAGCTGCCTGAAAATTCGCACAGAGTAAAAAAGAGCCATGACTAGCCGCTCTGCTTCAAGTCATGCTGTGGACTGTGCCACGGAAATAAGGAAAAAGCACTAGAGTAACGGTGGCTTTTGTGCTTTCTGGGAGAAGGTGCTACTTTACATAGCCCGTGTCTGAATCCCACACTGAGGTTTAATAGCACTTGTGTTTTGTCTGAGTTAGATAACCTGGCTGTTTTGGGGGGATTTGTAATATATTCATATGTATGATGTGAAGAGTTAAATTCATTTTGCATAGATTTTGTTTTAATTGGATAACACTTGGTCATAGAAAAATTCCCACATTAACTTTCTAAACACACCTGTTAGCATCTGATCAGGCAAAACCCAAAGCCACTGCTGCACTCCTCACAGGAACACACTGGTGAAGAGCATTTAACACACTCTTTGAGGGTTTATTTCTTGGGTCAGGTTTTCACACAGACAAACTCATTCCATACAATACACCAACACCTCTGCTTAACTGGGAAAGTTAAAATAGGCAGGTTATATAATGATGTTTATCTTTACATCAGGAAGTCAACTAAGAAGCTGTTAAGCTGATATTATATAACACAGTCCCGATTATAGAAAGCGAGGAGGAAGATGATCTAGGTTGATGCATGTCATATTGGCAGTAATTATTAATGGTTATAATTAATATTGTTTTGTATTCTTTTGTTTTTGATGTCTTGCAGCCTTCCAGAATGCATTGGAGCATTAGCAGTCAGGCACTGATCCATGTTTATAGAAATTCCAGTTACACTATTCTGTACATTAGGTAAATACATTTAAAATAAAACATTAAAAATAATGAAATAGAAGTCACATATAATTTCCTATAATGCTCTAGTTCCTGAAGTTGCTGGAATTACAAAACTCACTCTTTTGCAGGATTGTGAACTGTCCCAAACTGAACAGATATACCTTATTACAAGAGCAAAGGAAAGATGAGATGACTTTATACACATGGCACACATTCCCTAATTGACCAAGACTACATAAGCTACACAATGATAGGGGAAAAAAACCCCATTTTTTTCTTCAGATTAAAAAAAAAAGAGAACATTTCTCTCTTACTCTCTTTGTAAACAGGAATGTGTTCATCTATGGTCATACTCAGCTGGATTCTCTAACCCTAAGAATAAAGGCATCCTTGTATTCTGATCAAGATTGAATTAACATAAGACAAGTTTCAGTTATGAGGACAAACATTGGATATAGAGCTTACAAATTAAAAATATGAAGCTTGTATTACTGGGAAATGGTCTTATCTGTATAAGAAAGATTAAAATCAAACAATAAAAGATGCATAAAATGATCCCATAAGAATTATATTGAGTAGACTTAATTAAATAAGCTAGACTGTGATTTTTTAATAAAACTTTTAACAACTGGAATAAGATTGGATCCTTCTGTGTGTGATAGGCAGCAACTTATTTTACCCACAAGAATGAAGATGATAGAAAAGAGTGAGCTACTATTTTGACTGTTAATAGTGTATATGACAGGCATGCGACTCATTGGGTCGCGTGACACAGTAACTGCACAGCACAATGAAAAGAGTAGCTTTAATCTTTAGTAGTCTCATGAAAATTAGCTATAAGTATTAGCTCTTGCAGAAAGAAGACATGACACCAAGCCATACTTTAATTCAAGCAGACTGCTTCTATAAGAAGTTGTTTTCATCTCTTATAACCCACAAAATTACAGATGATAAAGAAAAGACACTAATCTGAAAAGACAGCTCCTGGAAGGTAAGGCTGTGGCACATGATCCAATCTTATCAGACATCAGAGCATCCAGATGAATGGAGGCATAATGAACAAGCTAACTTCACTCAGGCTTCATTCCTTATTAGCCAGGGGAAGTTAGGCTTCATTAGTTTCATTGCTTCCCCAGTTAGCTGTGAAGCTTTGCACCGAGTTTGCAGGGGAAGTGAAAATAAAAGCTTTTCTGCCAGCTGTCAGAGATCCTTTTATGAGTAACAATTCCCAGTTCTGTATGAAAAAGGGAATCATTTGCTTTGTATACTATATGGTGATTTGGGGCATTAAACAGCGACAAACATAAGATAGAATGGATCAGTTTTCTAGTTCTTGTGTTTATTAGTAAGCCCAATATAAAAAAACTCCCAAGTTTTACTCATTCAACTCTTCAAGTCATTTTACCCTTCAACAAGCAGAAATTCTGTTTGCTAAATTTAGTATTATCGATTCTGGTAATATGCCACCTTATACCCCAGTGTCCAGCTTGGAGTGAATATGAATATATGTACCAGTATTTTCTGAGTTAGTCTTCCCCACCTTCTGCTCAGAGTTTCTCTGAGCTTGTTACTATTGTATTTTCTTGGCCACAGTGATAACTGTAAACTCTTGCAATGTGGTGATGTCTGCTGTCCTTTTTGTCTTGGTTCTCAAATGGTTGTTGCTGTCGTGATTGGTGTGTTATGTAATGATCTAGTGAATGTTTCCTGAAGTCTTCTGGTCAGTTTATCATACCTCTGCAGTTACTGTGTGGGGCACCAGCTGCAACACTTCTACCTATATTGCCATTCTGAGCTGCCCACATGGTTCTCAACTTGCTCCAGTGGGCTTAAGGGGTCCACCAGGTAGCTGGCATGAAGTTAGACCCCTCCATTTCATGTTGCCCTGCCTGTGGCCAAAATGTGACTGCTGCAAGGCACAAGAAGCCTGACAGCATTCCTGTTCCCTGTGGGAGGTGTCAGCCATAAAGGTGACATTTCTAGAGCAGAAAGAGCCATTTTCAAAGCGGCAGCTGGCTGGCGTGGAGGAGGTAAGAGCTGGGGTACAATCAGGTACAAATCCCTGGCAGGGGTCACTGCTGAGATCGTTTTCAGAGCAGCAGCTGCCAACACACTCTGGCATAGTTTTTCAAAACGGAAAAGCGTTGTCTCTGTTTCACTATGGGTTTGTAAACTGGGTTGATTGGCCTCGTGCACAGGGCCTGCTTTTCCCCATCTGCACAAATGCCATGGGCTAGGATCAGGTGTCTGTTACAGAAGTTTTTCCACATCTGGGCAACATGCTTGTGCTGTGCTGGCTTCCTTGCTGCCAAAAGCTGCCTGCTACCTTGTCACACATGCCCCCCTAAGCACCATGTCCTTCAACAGGCAGAACAGTGCATGTGTTGTAGCAAGCTGCCTGTCCTGGCCAGAGGTACGAGTCCCAGATAGCACCACATGCGGGCTGCTGGCAGCGCTCACAGAAGGGATTTGAACAGGAAAATCTGAAGTCAGGGAGAGGAGACCATCGGTCAGATCCTGAGCCACTGCTGGGGCCAAGAGGGCTGCAATGGCGACAGGCTGCTGCTTCATATAATTGTTCTGGAGTTCCACTGCCAAGGGTCATTCTGGAGCACAGCCAGGCCATGTTGAATGCAGCATGATGCTGACTTGTATGCTGACCACACCAGTCACAAGCCTTTCTGTACGCTGCCTGTAATGGTTTGATTTAAGTGATACTGCTTAAGCTGTGGCATAAATGATGCTCTGGTTCATACCCAGTTCCTCCAAGGGAACGGCACCATTTCCTGAAAACCAGAGCCTGAAAAACATGATGTGTAATACAGGACAGTTTTGCAACACTGGCTCTTACTGCACTGTGCTAGTAAAAATGCCATTTTCCATTCATGGAATATTTTCTATGTGTGCTGGAATTTCAAAACTACTTTATATACCGAAGTTTAATACTGTTCTTTCTGGTTCAACAACTTTCAATCAACAAATATACTCCTAGAACTGAAGCAGAAGTGCCGGGAACCAACCCTGCTCTCGGAGGTACAATAAGGCTCACCTAATTGCTTCCTGGCCTGCTGACCGCCATCCTGACCCCCTCTTTGATGTTTTGTTTTTTTT